CAGCGCAGCTTCCCGGGGCGGCCCACGTCCGCCCATCCTTCAAGCCGCAAAAGGCTGCGGCGCACCTTCGCCGTCTCCTCCGCCGCAGCACGTGCAAATGCTGCAGTGGGAGGTCCTCCTCGGAGCGCCGGCCATGCAGAGGGCCGGCTGCTCCAAGGACGATCTGGGGAAGGGGTTGGGCCGCCGATAGTGCGGCTGCCCCTCCCCTTCCCTGCCCCCAAGACGGTTCAATTAGCCGTCTGCTGAGGGGGAAGGAGATGCTTACGCTGCCTTGAGGACCCCGCGGAACCATGGGGAAATGCGGGGAAATGCTTCCAAATGCGCATTTGCTTTTCACATTATGGCAAATGCGAATTTACCTTAATTCTGCATTTGCATTTCCTGCAAACAACCGAATTTCAAAAGATCTCGGTTAACACCAGTTTCTGTCCACTTTCTGTCCAGTTTCTGTGCGATGTCATGTGAAAACATGGGGCACTAATCCAGTTTCTGTTTGGGTTTTGTGTGGATTAACCAGCAGATTTGCCCCCGTGTGATAACGTCCTATATCCAGCTAACCCTTTATATATATATAGAAATATTCATTATCATGCTTCTCTACAATAGCACTAAGGTACTGCTTTGACAGTCTATGGTCCTCTGCCTTCTCTTCTGCAGAGCTTCCATAACCTTGCCTTCCTGCCCTACGTCCTACCCAGTGTGCCTTTTTAAAATTTTAATTTTAATTTTTACTGCAATTGCACAATTATGGCAATGTCCCAGTCTCTCTCTCCTCCATCCACTTTCCCCCATTGTTCCCAGCTTATTTCAGTTGCTGCATACTGAATTCAAAGTGCAAGAGTAGTTTATATTTCATTAACCCAACAGGGGGAAGGAGGAAGAATGGGAATCGTGCCCTTCCCAGTAGGCTCAGGCAAAAGCAAACTGCTGCAGCCTCTCCTAGCTTATCCTCATCTATTGACATCTATTATTATTTTACCCACCTTGACCACACTTTGATGTTGCTTGGTCACATGTGTTCCCATTTTCCTGTGTCCAATGTTGGAGGGTATGAGGTTGTCACTTACAAAAAATGAAAAGATCCATCAGTAGTCTACCCAGCTGTTTTGTCCTGTTGTCATCAGTCTCATAATGCTGTATTTTTGAATCATGGTGTTAATGTGAGACCCAGGAATAGATGGAAACAGGGTTGCTGGCTTACCAGAGCATAATACCAAAGAGAGAATAGAAAGTCAGCAGCTTTCACAGTAACCCACTGTCTCCCATCAATAGCAGGACATTAATTTTTGCCCCACATGTGAGGCTCCTGAAGGAGAAAAGTGTGTCATGTCAATGTGGGACGGGAAAGAGATGAAGGGAGAAGGTTTTAGAAAATTGTTGAAAATTACAGTATTCAGCTTTTGCTGACAGTATATCAAAGCCCGGCTCTGGCCTTTATGATATCTAAGTCCCTGCCACTTCCTCAGAAAAACAACATCCCCATACAATAGATACATTATTGGGGAGATAGGGAGGGGGAGAGGAGGGAAAAACATTGAAGAGATGAGACTCATTTAGGAATTAAGGTTTTGATGTGGACTTTTTGAGAGCCTAATGGCTCCACCACTGGGATGAACAAAGTACAGGTCTATAGTGACAGTGTCCCGAGGAGACGCTTTGAATCCATCTCTTATTACAGCCTTCTAGGAGTGGAGGGTAGAAAACAAAACAGCAACCATAAAAAACTTCCCACAAATGACCTAGCTCTTGGTTAGCCTACAGAGGATAGAACTGTTGTTATCACTACAGTTTCCAAAAAAAAAAGAAAGCAAGATAAATCATAACTCACAGCCCGGGGTGAAGATTAAAACTCCTCTTGAGATTTATGCTTCCTTTTCCAATTTATTTTATTTTAGTCATACTTCTGTCCTGTTTTTCTAATACACATGCATCACTCAAGGCAACTTATCACAGTAACAAAAAATTCACAATATATTATAAAATGGTATCCTCAAACAAGCAAACAAACAGAAAGGAATACAGCAAAGGTAGAAACAACTCAGTAAAGCTAAAGGCAGTATTTATTTTATTTTATTTATTGGATTTAAATCCCACCTTTCTCCAAAAAATGGGATTCAGTAGGGAAAAAAGGACCACATTACAGGTGGAATAATCAACTTAATCAAAGAAGCCACAGCCCTGAGTTTGCAAGAACTGACCAGGGTATTTATAGGGTTGCCAGAATAAAAACTGGACAGGGCTTCTTTAGCTTTAATAGTTGTATAGACAAAGAAATTTCAGCAGGTTTTGCATGTTACCTGGTTGCATGGCAAGTAACACCTGCTGAAGATCCCTGTTTAAAGTACAGGAGCCCTCTCCACTTTTCATTCTGGAGAAGCCTGATGCAGTGGTTTGAGTGTTGGACTAGGAATCTGGAGACCAGGGTTTGAATCCCTGCTTGACCATGGAAACGCACTGGATGACCTTGGGCAAATCACATTCTCTCAACCTCAAATGATCAAAGGCAAGGTCTCTCTGAGCAAATGTGGCAAAAAAAATCCTGTGGTAGTTTGTAGAGCCCACAACAACAACAAGACCTAAATAAAAGCATCATTTGGAGGTATCTTAGATCCGTTGCAGACTGCCAGAAATAGTGCAAACTGAGTCCACTTTAAGGGTTAGGGTTGGGGAATCATGGGAACTGTATTTTATTGTGGCACCAGAGCTCTCTGACAGAGAAGGCTCAATGTCTCAGGAAAAAAACAATTCCCATGACTCCCTAGCACTAACCTAACCCTTAAAGTGGACTCAATTTGCACTATTTCTGGCAGTCTGCATTTGACAGCATATAACAAGTTAAGACTTGTTGTTGTTGTGTTCTCTATTATGGGGTTTTCTTGGCAACATTTTTTTCAGAGAGGCCTTGCTGTTGCCTTCTTTTGAGGCTGAGAGAGTGTGATTTGCCCAAGATCATCCAGTGGGTTTCGATGGCTAAGCAGGGATTGAAACCCTGGCCTCCAGACTCCTGTATATACTTATTTATAAGTCTTTAAAAAATGACTCGAAAATTTGAGTCAATTTATCCACTGGTCAATCTAAGTACTATACTTTAATTCTTTTTTTTAAAAAAGGAACTATCCCCTGGTGAAAAGCAAGAGTGCAATCTGTCCTGGAAGCACTGACCCCCCTCTACTCTCATGCATCCAGCCTTTAAGGTGACCACAAACAGTTATGCCTGCTAGAATTTTGTAAGTTCTTTGGCATTGGTTTCCTTTGCTTCATCCTTTATATCCATTGTTATGTGCCCTAGCCCTAAGTTTTACTCTTGACTTATCCACAAGCCATATCAAAATCCATAATTTTGGCCCTTGTATGTGGTAATAAAAATACTGGTTTCCCAGCAGGGCAAAAGCAAGCCAGAACTAGGGTTGCCAGACTGGATCTGGGACAAGACTCCTGTAAATTTAAGCCTTAATTAAGATCTTGGAGCAGGATAATGTATCGTAAAGCTCCATCAAGCAGGATGAAGGTACTTGCCCTCCCCTACCTTCCAAATCTCAACTTTCAGCTAAAGGCATCCCCTCCCAACATGGCTTTTGCTTCATGGATGGAGAGGGTATGATGGATCAGCACTCAACTCTGTTCTTTCACCAAACTTTGTTCTTCTCTCCAGAAACTTTCCACTCTCTCCACCTCCATTGGCAAAGCAATAGCTGTGTCAGGAGGGAAGAGCCGCAGCTGAAACTTGGGATTTGGAATGTGAGTTGGGACAGAAACCATCATTCTTTCCTTCCCCAATCTCTTGCAGCCCTCAGAGGTGCCCTGAAACCAGGTGTAGAATGTTTTCCAGTCCTCCAGAGTAGGTTTCTTGGATGCGCATCAGTAGAAAGGGAAAATCAAAGCCTCTTGTTTCTGCTGGTTTCCACTGTTCTGTCAACACAAATCCACTTCTGAATCCAGCTCTGTTTCCTTTCCTGTGTCTGCATGGTTTGGCTATTGAACTGCCTCAGAATCCAAATATTTGCCAACCTCGAAGCACAGTTTTATTTTCAATAGTAATTTTTTATTATTAGAACTGTCAAGCCTCTTGACCTCTGAAATGATGAAATACAGTAGTTTGAGCTTTTTTTAATTTAGTAAAGCCACAGATATAATGGGTTTATGCAATCCACTTCAGTGCTGAAATGAACAAGAAGTTTTCCCACAAATATTTTCAACAGTTTTACAAAGTTCCCCCCTGTTTGAGTGATCCTTTTTTCCTGGTTGCTTTGGAAAGGGTTGGAAATATGCAATTATTTAGTGATGTTTTCATCCTTAATGGATGGACATCAGCATACAGCTAACACACATTGTCAGCAATTGCCCTGCCTTTGATTGAAACAACAAAATGAGACATGAGCTATTAAATATTCAATATATCATTTAGAGGCTGGGGGGTGGGACATTTCTGTCTCTTGAAAAAAATTCTTCTGAGCTGAACATAAATATGGAGGGAAATTGGTTCTGCTGTCATAAAGTATAGTATTCTTATCCAGAACTACTTTAGAACTCTGAACAGGTCTTGGGGATGCCAATGAGCTGTACAGTGCATTGTGTATTGTTATGGTAGAAATTTGCAAAGGGAAAGAAAGGGAAAAGAGAGGGGAACACCCCACCCCAAAAAACCCCTACATTTAAAAAAGCTTCATTCATATACTGTGTTTCTAAGAACCACAATCCCATTCTGAACAATTCGTATGGATTGATGTATTCTGTGCAAAGCTGCACAAAAGTGCATGCAAAAGATGTAATTTTCAGTAGGGGAACAGTTATGTCATCCTGATAAATGTCAACATTCATCATGCATTCACAGCCCTCATGACTGGGGAGACGGTTGACAATGTCTAGAGATGACTAACTCTTTCACTCCCTATTGCCCTCTTCTTATCCTAGCACAGTGGGCAACTGTGCAGGGGGCATTTTTCTACCCTGTGCTCACTTTGCAAGACACCGGTGCATTTTGGTGCAAGCAAAGTGACATGACATCACTTCTTGATGCTGTTGTGGCCAATCTTTCAAATTTCCTTTGCACTTGGGGCATGTTTCAGGGACTTTGGAGGGCAAGCGGAATCAAACCAATGTGGTTTGGGCATATTTTAGGTGTTATAGTGGGGGGAGAAAATCACCCCAAAACCAGTCTGAAAAATAAATTTTAAAACTTTTTTTTTACAGTCTGGGGGCTTTGGGGAACTTCTGGGGAAATTTGTTGGCTGCACTTAGAGGTCCTAAGGGTCACATGTGGTCTATGGGCCACACTTAGCTCACCCTATCCTAGCATAACATTAGTTTGTGAATAACCACCAACAACAATTAAAAAACCAAAATTTGCTGTCCATTCATACCCCAAATCAGCTTCCAGGTGTGTCCACCTCACTTTACCTAATGATAGGGCCAGATGTAAGGGTAATGCTGTCTGTATTCTCTTTTCCTTGCTCCTACCTACTTACAGAAGCTACAGCCCTACATTTTGTGATGGTCCTTCCTTAGCTACTGTTTGTAGAATGCAATGAGAGAAGCACATAACTTGGCTGTAACAGGAAGGATCCTGAGGCTATAACAGGAAAGAGTGTGGATTTCAGTAAGGTCCCCCTGCACCTGCTTTAATTTAAACACTGTTCTAATTTTATTTCAACCTTCATTTTCTTTTACCTCTGATAAAGTTGCATGATGGCAGGTTATACTCTTCTAAATATTCATGGGAATAGCAAGGCAGTTTAGGATAAAGCAGGGATGGACAAAGGATACAGGTGACACACCAGGCTTCTTCCAACCCTGGCCTAGAGCACCCCTTCCTACACCAAGTAAGCATATAGAATACCAAGAGGGGGTACAATTTGCTGTTCAAATCTCTTTTGCCCCCTGGGCCTGTTTCAGATTCTGTTTTTGGAAAACAGAAGTGACCAGAAAGAGGATGCAACTTATGCAGGCAGGCCTTCCCAGGCAGTTTTAATCATGCATTTTAAACATGAATTTTATATTTAACCATTGTTTGATGTATTTTAATATAAATATTGTAAAGAGATGCATTTTAATTTGCGTATTTTATATAATGATGTTATGTTTTAACTATGTTGTAACCTCCCTCGAGCTGCGAGGAGAGGTGGGTAAGAAATAAAAATTATAATTATTATTATTATTATAGTCTGGACGAAGGTGCAAATAGGCTCTGTTAAGGTACCAGATGGTATCAGATCTTAAAAGCTAAGCAGGGTCAGCCCTGATTAGTACTTGGATGGGTGACTGACAATGAATACTGAGTGCCGTAGGCTATATTTCAGAGGAAGGAACTGACAAAAATCTCTTTCAGTATTCCTTGCCTAAGAAAACCCTTTGAAATTCATGGGGGTGCCATAACTTGACAAGTTACTTGAAGGCACATGTATACACACACATTGCATGGATGTACTGGAGAAGTAGATTAATATCCAGGAGAGTTCATGCTGAAATAAACCAGTTTGTCTGAAAGGTGCTACTAGAGTCCTTCGTTCCACCATTCATGCTGTGAAAAACCAACACAGCTATCTCTTTGGAAACTAATACAAGTGAGTCCTTGAGATCTGTGGTCCTAGCTACTGAAAAGGGGCTTTTTAGAGACCACTGTCAGGAGTAATTCTAAAGTGCAACTTAATCCGACTTTAGAAAATACAACCTACATTTCGCAGTGTGTTAATAATTTGACCTTCCTCAAGGGCCATGCCATGTGTAGTGAAACTGTCTGTTAACTCCCTCTTGTACCACTGGTTGTGGTATTTAATCTCCAACAGGAATTTTAGAAGGTCAAAGTCCCTTTCTTTGATGAATGCCATACAAACAATAAAAAGACCTATCTATTTTTACAGGTACAATATTTTAAGTTCTTAGGAAATGAAGGGTAAGTTTGGTTCTCCCTGCCTATTTGCTCAGAAGCATTTTTCATTTGAGACATTTCATTTAATTCTTTCATTCTCATGCAATGCAGGTGACATGCATAGGCAAAATGAAAGTAGGTGAACCCCAAGACTTGTAAGTAAATGGGGTTCCATATTCTCCACCAGGAAATTGCCAAGCAATTGAATGCACAGACAAAATCTTTGGAAGCTTTCTTCACTTCGCAGAGAAAAACACCCGGTGACCTTGGAGCTGTCTGGCTGCTTTGGAATGCATTCCTCCCTTCTTCTGATGAAACAGACTGAAGCAGGTTTAACTCCAAAGAAGTACTTTTATTCTTTAGTTGCAATATGTACAAAATTGTACAACACCGACCAACGACAACCCACACCACTACCCACATGCTGTGGTCTCAGTTTTTTTATAGATACTTGCCATGCAGCCACTAAGGACCTTATCACACGGGGTCTAAAGCAGACCTAATCCAAAGGGTATCCGTAGCTAATACATATTATTTCCCCATGTTTACACACGACGTTACACCGAAACTCAACAGAAC